TAAACATTACATCTTTCATACTGTCCGATTTAAACAGATTTTAACAGGTGCTTTTATTCGGAGTTACTCTTGTTCGCTTATGTGGATAGGTAGGTGACACTTGGGAAAACTTCTGCTATGTCGTTCCAACAAATTAATTCTTCCTTCATACTACTCCTGCTCATCTACGACCTGACGTGTAGTTGGTCATACATTCAGGGGTTATCGGAACCATGCGACGATCAAGTCTGTTCCCAACCAATGGCGGGTCTGGAATGAATTTTCTTGATCTTGTGACAGTTAAGATAGGCCAGAAACCGGAATTAACCAATATCCGTTTTGTTGTTACTTGACCTCAACTACTTTGCTTTAGCTACTAGTTACTATTTGGTCAAGTGGATGCCAATTCAAAATCCCATTCGCTGGCCAATTTCCTCTTCTACATGAACGTCTAAATCAATAGTTTCACAATTTGATAGCGTCAAAAATATCATTGACCTACAGCCTTTCTGGGCGGGAGTATTCATATAAAAGAGAGTACGCTGATGTAAAATGGAATACAACAAACGTATTAAACTATATTAACTTATCTAGCGACAAATTTAGAATATAATGGATTTCAAAACGATGTATATGCTGTTGTTAAACAATGATACAGTATCTGTCTATATTTTTATTATTTACATTGTAAGTACACATGTCCCAGTAGATAAAGGCGTTGATTGGATCCAGTGACTTGACCCAAAGAGTTGTGAGTTCAATGTTCAATAGTGAACAAAAAGAGTTGATTTATATGACGACAAATAAGACATCGGGAAGAGGCATGGCACATGGACAAAATAAAGGTTTCAGTTCGAAATTCCAAATACCTGAAGAAGACCGGACCGAACAGCGACCATGAACATGACAATAAAGATGAGAACAACAGCCCGAACAATGTAAATAATAATACAGTATCATCCTTTTCATAATACAGGCATTATCAACATTGTCTTGCAAAAAAAGAGGTAATATGGTGTGCTGCTGTGTTTCTAAAAAGGGGATAATTTATATAACAATCGATTCTGGTAACTCTAAAATGTTTTGTTTGCAACCATTTCATTTATTTATTATTTATTTTAATTTTTTTACTTTACACTACCGTCTCTATATAACAAATGATACACCTCAGGAAGGCCGGAGTATTGATCGACCGAATCAATACTCCGGTGTATAAGCCAGCCTCTAAGTATAGTATTCTTAAACAAACTATATTAAATTATTTAAGTTAACTGTTAATTATTGCCCAATCCATAAATAAACCTTTGCAAAAAAAAAAAAAAGTATGACCTGAAATTGAAATGAAAACAGTTATGCTACATAAACTGAATCCTCATAAAATTTAAGGATGTGGAATTAGCATATATTAAAAAGAGTCTCCATGTCTTTGTGATTGACAAATTATTTTCCATGCTCCAATCTCTTTCTCACAGGCAGGATGTGGCGAGCCCCTCATGCTCTACCGTTACTACCATGGAAAGTGCCCAGTCTCACCAGGTCTAACTTTCACGGTTAGCACCCGCCATGCCACTTCTTTTTCAGCAAACCACCCACATTGCCTTCGTATTTCATAAGCGAGAAGTAAGTTCGCCTCAAATAGCTTTTCAAAACAGACTCCAAGAAGATGTATCTTGATCACTACAATTTAAACCTGTTCAAATCTTGAGTTAACCGTTACTTTCCCTCTCCTATCGATATAAACTACCCCTTAACGTAACCCTCTACCTCGAGTGATCGCCGAGCCTTGCACGAGGCAGACCTTATTGTAAAAAAAACAGTGAGCTACTTACTTGCGTTGCTCAGGTTGTAGGCATCTGATGTGTCTAAATAGTCGACAGTCTCATGTAGTTTCATTTGCGGATGATCCTCGTGGTTATTGTTTTCTGTCTTGATGGCGTATCTTATGGCTGATTTTAGAGCCTGTGTATCAAAAATGGCGCCTGTAAAGAGAGTAGAAATTTAGGTAAGTGATTCAGTTCAAAAGGAAAGCATAAGCTTGATCAATTTTTACCAAGGTTAATAATATATTGATACTTACTGCGTTCACCATATTTTTGATTGTGTATTACTAAAATGCAAGAACGGCACATTATCCCCTTTTTTATTTTCAGTTCATTTCTACTGCAAAATCGTTAACCATTTCTTAATTCTTTCATTTTTTTCTATTTTGAGATTCAATATATTTATTTTTTTCGCCCCAAGCAAGGCCATAAATTCACTAAGACGCAAGAGTTTACCGAGAGTTGCACAATATGAGAAAAACACTATTAAGAAGAAAGAACAAAAACAGAACAAGAATTAAGAAGACAGAACATAACAATTAACGTCTGCAATTAACTTTCTGAAGATCAAAGTTGACTGGGAAGAAAGAATTTAGTAGGGAGTTCCACAAGAGAGAAGTGCGAGGGAAAAAACTGTTAGCAATGTTTAAGTTTTCTCGACTAAGCAGCGTGATCAATGTAATAACTCTGTTTAAAGTAGAAACGAGGCGTCTATTTCAAATACCGTCATCCACTGAAAGTAACGTTTGAAGTAATACATACACACACACACACATATATATATGAATATATATATATATATATATATATATATATATATATATATATATATATATATGACAAAGTGAGAAAGGTTTTTTTCGTGAGAGGCGTTTAGGACTTCAAAGAACGCGACCCTCTCACTCAAAAACTTTTTCCCACTATATCATACATTTTCCCAACAATATTATTCTTTATATATATATATGTATATATATATATATATTCATTTCTGTAGTTCACTGCTACCAGCAAGCAGAGATATTTCTTCTCCCGATGATGGCCACGTTGTCCGAAACTAGTCGAGGGATCTAAATGAAATAATAATAATAAATCGAAAAAGAATCTACAACCCAATGTGTCTGAAGATTTTAATTTTTTGAATATTTTTATTGTTCAATATATATATATATATATATATATATATATATATATATATATATATATATATATATATACATATATATAATTATATATGTGTGTGTGTGTGTGGTCATTATTTGTTCAGTTAGCGAAATTCTGCCTCTGTGGCTACCGCTCCCTCCAATTGTAGTGCATGGTGGCATTCAAGGCAGAATGAGTGCAATGGCTTGCTTGTTTCTTTTTGCACTATGGGTGATGAGGTTAATACGTCCTTCCTTTCTTCTTCTAGCGTTTGTCTAAAAGGCAGGTGCTGCAAGGCAACAGATGGTTTGAATTCAAAGTTTCCTTCTCCTAGACTGGTTGCTACCCAAGGCCCAATATGACCCATTCTTTCCAGCTATTTTACCCATATCTGGATGAAGAATGGATGGATTCATAACTTCCCAAAGTATATTACCACGTAAGTGAATCATCATCATCATCATCATCATCATCATCATCATCATCATCATCATCATATACACAGGGTGCGATGGATAAATTGTCGCCACAATTACGCAAAAATGAAAATAACTAAACTAACGAGTACATTTATTCAGTAAAGTCGCCACTGACTTTAACCCCGCCCTCCAAACGACTTTGGATACTTCTGATAATCTTCTGGGCGGTTTTCTTGCTTATGTTGGTGAATGCAGCCATAATCCTTGCCTTCAGTTCATGTTTGGTGTTACAAGGAGTTTTGTTGGTCTCTCGCTCAGCTGCGCCCAACACATAATTATCAAGGGGGTTGCTTCTGGGGAGTTAAGTGGTGGCCAGTTGTAAGAGGTGATGTGACCGCAGAAGTTGTCTGACAGCCATGACTGGGTTCGCCTGCTTGTGTGGCATAGCGCAGCTTGTTGCCAGACATAGGGTCTTCTAACAGCCACACTCTTGACTTAGGGTTGCACTATCTCTTGATGTAGGCTTCCGTGTGGAGTCTGAGCCCCTGTGAGAAGATGAATGGAGGCATAAAGTCACCATCATTAGTGATAACTTAAAACATTTTCGTAATCATCGTTAGATTCATCCAAGTCTTTCCGAAAACCTCTGCACTGTCCTTAGATTGACACGCAAACACTTTGAAACGTTCGTACTTAAGATTTCGTGAATGCCAAGCAGTACAACATGCCGTTTCCAAATTTCTGGCAGATTGAATTGGGTTGTGATGCTCTTTTCCTCACAGATGGTGCCAAACTAAATCTACTATACTGTACAGTCGACAAAATCAGAAACAAAAAACGCGCATGCGTGAAATTAAAATTTTATAATTTACTTTTCGTACCCTGTAAATATGTGTATATATATATATATATATATATATATATATATATAACATTATTAATTATTATTAAATAAAACAACTAAAACTGTTAATGGCACCAAAGGACAACATGTCAAAACCTAAAACACTTATCCAAATAAAGACTCGAACTAAAAGAGCATTACTGAAAAAAAGAAAATTAAAAAAAAAAGCCTAAAGGCAAACACCTACCTACTCAGTAAAGTGCTTAAAGCCTAGATTGCATAGACAGAGCAAAAACCGCTTAACACCATTAAATCGTATAAAAGGATGGCCCTAGTTGTAACCAGAGTTTCACGCTCACGAAACCTTCAGATGACTTAAACCCTAAAAGTTTCTTCTCGGCAATATCGTTTTTTTTTTATTAATATATTTTATTTATTTCCATTCTTGGGATATTTCATTTTTTTTAAATTTTTTTTTTTCGTCTGAAACATAGCATAGTGAACTTGAAAGATTATAAACTTCGTTATAAAGTGAGAAACCAAAATACTAAAGCAGAAACAAAACAAATAATAAGAATTATAGAAACAGTCGAAAATATTTCATTCAATTATTTTAGATCGGTACAATCTTCTTTCAGGAAACTTTAGCCAAAACCCAAAATTCGTTTTTTTGTTCTCTCTTGTCAACATCTTACCACCCTGGGATTATATTCTCTCACTATTACTTTTATTTTTTATCATTTTACTGAAAATTATTTTCCTAACTGAGTTATACTTGGTATATCTTAAATTAAGTTTCTCTCTCTCTCTCTCTCTCTCTCTCTCTCTCTCTCTCTCTCTCTCTCTCTCTGTGTTTGTTGGCAATGGAGCGTCAGAGGAAGTGTTTGCGATCTAAAATGTTGGCACAATTTTGGTATATGCTTAATTCCCAGCAGAGTGATAAGGTTCTAGTGGCAGCGTTAATTCCTTACCGAAAAGAAAAATTTCTGAAGATAAGTTCTATCATATGCATAAATAGTTATCAAACACCCACACGATAGTTAGAGCAACATGCCCATTTTCGATGATCACGGTTTATTCAGATGGGGTAACATTTTTCCGTATAGAATCGATAGGTTAATTTCAAAAACCGACAGAGACTTGTTATGCTCACTTAGAACTGATATATTGGGAAAAGTATGTATAAATATTTTCTCTTCACAGCTATAGGTAAAGTAGTAGGGTATATTGGGGTTTCTAGCCTCAATAGAGCAATCGGTCTAGGATATAAAGAACCATGAATTCAAAGCTGGGAAAAATTATACAGGAATTTTTTTTCACAAATACTATAATGAGAAGTAAAAGGACATAGTGGAGAGCCATAATCGGTTATTACATTCAAAATAAATGTTTATTTGTTATTTGAAAACATAAAAAAGCATAAAAAAGTTTAAACTATAATAAAAATTAGTTATTCGAACTAAGCGTTGGTTATATGTGGCAAAAGATCTAAAGGAATGGACACCCAGTGAGGATCGAACTCAGTCCTCACTAAGCTTTATAAACCTCAGATGCTATTCCATTCGATATGAGATATTTTATTTCCGTTATTTGATAGGCGTTATCGTTTAGTATTTGTCTTTTGATTATTAGCATCACTATTTAGCAACATTATCATCATCATCAAACCCATGACCATCTGTGGTCCTAGGGTCATTATGCAGCTGACCAATTCTCTTCGAATATCACATGTTGAAAGCAGGGGTATATTCATTCCTGCATAGCGTATCTTTGAAAAATATCCCTGGTAGAGCCGATGTATTCAATGGTTACTGACACGCACACATAGAGCTGTTGATTGAGTCGGGGGAACAAGCCGCCCTCTAACCCCAGCGACGATGTGTCATCACATCACTGCCTGCACGCATAGCTATCAAGCCCAGTATGCCAGATAATATAGATGGCCGTTAAACCTACAAGAAAATTAATCCGCGTTTTGATAGGTTTCCTCTTTAATCCTGCTAAGTAAATAGCCACCATACACACCAGAAAAGACTGGTGGGGGAACCGGTTCAGTCACCGATGACCCGACCATGCGATAGGTTTTGCTTGGTTAAATGGTAGCAGTAAAAAACTTAGAATGTCATGATATAATTATTATTTACAACACTTCTGACATGCTTTATTCCCTGGTGCCCCGCGTACATGAAATTAAACGTGCTACTAGATTGGCATATAGGTCCCACCCTTTTACTATGGAAATAAGTAAATGCAACCGCCACTTCTACTGCAACAGTTTATTTTCTTCCACTTCACACCCGTTGGATTTTTTTTCCGTCTAGTTGATTCCCTGGTGATTACAACCTTCAAAAAGTTAAATGCAACGTCAATCGTCATCTTCTTGAATCCTGTTTATCATGTGTTCTTTCCTCAATCCTCTCATTTTCACTCCTTGAAATCCGACTCATGCCTTGCTTGGAGTGAAATGATTAAAGAAAAAGAAAGAAAGAAAGAAGAGATTATTTTTATTTGTTCAAGCAACAAATTTGTGTTAAAAATCCTAGACAAGTTAGTAAAAGTGTTGTATTCTAGGAGGGGTTACTGAATGAGGAATAACCAAAGCGGAAGTTGAAAATGAAATAGTCATCTTTATGGCATCAACAAAATACAATACTCGCCAACGTCGTGAAGTAGGCAAACCACTGCTAGTGGTGGACTACTTAGACATCATATGACCCCAGCCTCACTTACAATAGTGTAAAAACGTATTTATGAGGATTGTAACATAGCCATTAGTGTTCATAAGTACGGTATATAACACTATCTCAGTCTGTTCACATCTATCTCGTTATGTTTCTATCTATATATTTATTTATATCGGTTTGTTCATATCTATCTATCTATCTATCTATCTATCTATCTATCTATCTGCTGTAACGCAGGAAAGGTCACTGAATGAGGAATAACCAAAACGGAGGTTGAAAATGAAATGGTAATCTTTATAACATTAACAAAATACAATACTCGCCAGCGCCGTGAAGTAGGTAAACCACTGCTAGTGGTGGACTACTTAGACGTATATTACCCCATACCTACTAGTGCTCATTGGTACGGTATATAACATAAAGAAAAGCGAAATGAAAGGACTATCAGTTGTAAGAAAACAAAATGCATAGTTGTAAGTAAAAGAAATTACCCAAGATGCGAGTTAGGAACTGGAGGTCATAATCAAACAAATATAGCAGTTTAAATATCAAGGATGTGTTTTAACATATAGCAAAAAATATGACACCTAAAGCTGAAGTAATATTGGAATGACAAATGTAAAATCTTACAAAAAGTAAACAAAGTCGAAAGTAACATGAAAATCTCATTAGTAACAAAGAAAAGAATGGTGAACTGCTAAGTAATAGCATTCCTTTTATATGGCAGTGATTGCTGGACAATATTATTACAGATGAAGAGGAAACTTGATTAAGTAGGTATGTGGTCCTACAGTAGGATGCTATAAGTACCATGGGCGAATCCTGTCAGCAATGTGGCAATTTTAAGGAAAATGTAAACAAAAATGACGCCTATATATTTTATACTTCTGTTCACTCAATATGACTACCAAGAGCCACTCAAGGTAGAGGGCTATTCTGTGGTTTTGTATGAGAATAAGAAAAGGAATGGGAGATCATGGAGTCATGCAGTAAGGATAACGGTTAACTTGACTGGGAAGAACGGAACCGGAAGTGAGTTCCATAAGCGACAATTGTGAGAGAAGAAACTGTTAGCGTAGAACTTACAGTTACATCTAAGCATTTTAACTCTAAAAGGATGAGACGATAATCCCTATAAAGTACTGAAAAATATCTTAAAATATGTTTGGTACTTAACAAAAATATATTAGGTCCTTAGGGAAATAGCAGTTATGGTAAATAATAAAATGAGGAGACAAGTTCACAAAAGAATATGTCCGTCATATTTCTAGCCGCCATGACAGTTTGCTTTTTATATAAAGTAAAATACAAAAAGACAGAAAGCATGGTTATCAGAAAAAAAACTTAATTTGTGACTCAACACGTTTCTTTTTTTTCTTAAACTTCATCTTTGTCCTAACCCTAATCCTTTTCTTAAATTAATATTGCTCTAAATCTTCATAATCATTGTCTTATCATTTGCGATTTTCTTAACCTTCATTTTCTACTTAACATTCATCATTTCTGAAATTACATCCACCTTAATCTGTTTTCTTAAATTAATCTTGGTCCAAACTTCATCAGTTTCTTAGGCTTCATTTTCCCCTTAACATTCATTTTTTTCTTAAATGTCATCTTAGGGTACTAATCCTAAGCTTTTTGTAAAATTCATCTTGGTCTAAACCCTCAACATTTTCTTAAACTTCATTTGGTTCTCAACACTTTTCTTTTTCTTAACGTTCATTTTCTTCTAACATTTTTCCTTAGACTTCATCTTGGTCGTAAACCTAGTCATTTCTCTAATTCATCTTGGTCTAAACTTTCGTCATTGTCTTAAACTTCATTTTTGTTTCAGCAAGTTTCTTTTTCTCAACCTTCATTTTCTTCTTAACATTCAGTTTTTTCTTAAACTTCTTTCCTTTTTATAACCTTAATATTTTTTCTTAAATTAATCTTTACATCCTTATATTCCTAAACTTCATTTGGTTTTTCCACACTCCTTTTTTTTAGCCTTCATTAATCTTCTTAATCCTACTCTTTTTCTTAACTCTCAGCGCGAAATTGAACATCAATTTTTACTTGAATCCAATCTTTTTCTTAACCTTCCAAGAGCCACTCAAGGTAGAGGGTTATTCTGTGTTTTTTTATGAGCATAATAAAAAGAATGGGAGATCATTGAGTCATGCAGGAAAGATAAAACTTCATCTATTTTAAAATCTCATCTTTTTCTTAACATTTATCTTTTTTTGCAATGTCAACGAATACTCGTTGTCACTTTCGCAATGCTCGTTGTAGTAGAGCCTTTGTAATCGCAGATACAACTATGGTAACGCCGTTGAACAATACTGGTGTCAGACGCCTTCGAATAACACTCGAACTAATAGTACTTGCTCGATAATACTCGCTCGAATAGTAACCACCAAATAGTGATCTGAATAGAGAAATAGTATAGTGAATAGCAATCTGTATAATAATAGACGTTAGAGTAGAAATTGTGATCCAAATAGTAATGGAGGATAGGCTAGAAATAGCGCTCAATTAGACGACACGCAAAATCCCATATATGCTTTTCCTCTATGGTTACTTTGTCTATTTAATTCGATAATGGGATCGCCTGTGCTTGCTCACTGGCGATCTACCTTTCAAACCCAAGTGTCGGCAGCGATACTTTATTCCTATATAACAATCTTTCACTCATAATGTATCATTATCTAAATCTTCCCCTTTGTCTAAAGAGTCATCATGTTTGATAACGTCATCTTTTTCTTAGATTTAAAAGTTTTTTTTTTTAATATGCAACTTTTTCTTAAGCTTCGTGATTTCTTAATTCTCATCTTTTGCTTAGACTTCATTTTATTTTTAACTTTCATCTTAAAAAAAACAAACTTTTATAGCAACACTTCCGGTCACTTCATCTTCGGCCACACAACTAAACCTTCAATTTGCATGGGATATGTATATCGACCATAACCCAAAGATCGAAAAACATTAGCCTATTTTCCTTTTGTTTCTCGATTATCTATAATTAATCGGTGTGGAGATAGGATCGAAAGAAATAAATTAAAACTTGGATTTAGATGTGAAATTTTTCTAGACTTCCAGGAACATTCAACTAAAATTGTATACAGACCAGCGCTAATACAAAGTGTTGAGGATTGCCTTCTTTCTTTTTATGTGCCATGGCCTTTCAGGACGTGGGCGATCATGGCTCTCCACCTATCCATTGCAGCTCTCAACAAGTACCTTCTCCCTGCTTCTTCCCCAGACGACGTTGTGTCATCCACTTGCTTAAGTCTGCCAGGTATGTCACGCATTTCCCTCTATTCGACCCGTGAGTATCAGATTCTGCAGGCCCTCCTTCCTCATTATGTGTCCCAGAAACATCAACTGTCTCTTCCTGATATTAAGTATAAGCCGTCTTCTTGTTTGCAACCTCTCTACTTTGTTCACACGTTCGGTCCATGATATCCTCAGCATAGAACCACATCTATGTCGCCTCGAGTCTCCTCTTTCCCTTGTCTCTCTATCCCTCTATTCAACCCGTGAGTATCAGGTTCTCCAGGCCCTCCTTCCTCAGCATTCCAGTATGAGCCTCCTCCTCGTTTGCAACCTCTCTAAGATCTCATCGTTGCCCACACACCCGGTCTATGATATCCTTAGCATCCTTCTGTAGAAGGGGATTGCCTAGAAAATCGGAATACAAGTGTGTCATTTATCTGTATTCGAACACCGAGTAATGAGACGTACACAATGACCAGAAGCGTCGAGAAAATCAAAGAAGATATAGGGTTGTGAGTTACGGGCCAAATTGACGTCTACCAAATGAAACTCAAGCACATTAGATTAGCAAGGATATAGGAAGGAAGCGCCCGAACTATGGCACTACGGTAGGCTCTTTTACACAGTAAATTTAATATTTTGTTCTTGTGTATCTGTGTGTGACTAATTTACACGCATGCCTATTGGAAGGAGCCATTAGTTTAATTTCTCCCTCGCTCTCTTTTACGTTCACACACGCACACACATCGCTGCCTTTTGAAGCTCTCTTGTGTGGACTCACTGGGCAGGCAAACATTCTCACGTTCTTACCATTAACCGACTTATAACTCTTGTCGGCGACAGGCCCTCCTATCTTCATCCCATTTGATGTATCAATTCGGCCGCTAGGGGGAGCTTGTGTGCAAACCCGAATTGTTTGGCAAACAAATTAGATTGGCACTCTAAAATGGCGAAACCGGGAGTGTGTCCTGGACAGAGGCTGGGGAATGAGGTAAATGACGGACATTAGCCAAGCGATTTAGGCGATGGCGGAAGTGGCAGGCAGCAATTTGGGATTGACAGGAAGGTGGGAAATGATAAAACAGAATCGTCAGAAAGGAAAGATTTTAGATTTGGTAGGGAGGGCAGTGCATGGGAAAAGGAAAGAGGGTTGAGAGAAGAAGGAAAGTAAAGGGGAAGGAAAGTAAAGGGGAAGGAAAGTAAAGGGGAAGGAAAGTAAAGGGAATAATAATAGGAATAAGAAAAAAAAGGAATGAAGAAGTAACGCGTATAAAAAATGACGGGTACAAAAAAGAGGCGCGAAACAAGAGAAAGAAAGAAAGAAAGAAAAAAGAAAGAAAGAAAGAAAGAAACAAAAAAAAGAAAGGAAACGAAAAAAGAAACGAAACGAAAAAAGAAACGAAACGAAGAAAGAGAGAAACGAAGAAAGAGAGAAAGAAAAGAATGAAGAAAAAGAGAGAAAGAAAGAAATATGTTATGAAGAAAAAAAGAGGAGAAAAGAAATAAATCAGGTTGATGAGTCAGAAAAAGAAAGAAAAGGATCTTAGTTTGTATAACGGAGCGAAGAAAGAAAGAGTGAAAAAGAAAGAAAGAAATAAAGAGAGATGAAAAATTGACTAAGAAAATAAAGGAAGAATGAAGGCCAGAAAGATACGATAAAAGATAAGAGGAATAAAACTTAGAACGACATATCAAAATGAAAAAGAGCGAAAAGAAAAGAAGGAAAAGAAACTGTCAAGAAGAGAAGGAAAAGAAACTGTCAAGGAGAGAAGGAAAAGATTTTAAAAGAATAAAAATTATGACAGTCCAATTAGTAAAATCATTTACAACTGAGTTATTGAAATTGTCTCTGAATACATGAGGAGATTGCAAAGTCGAATCGATGACGATGAGAAGATTGTCATGGAGAGATTGCAAAGTCAAATTGATAGAGACAAGAAACTGATTGCCTAAGGACAGTGTGGGCGAGGGAGTTCCAGCAGAAGAAGTGTGTGTCATGGGGCAAGAAAATTAGAAAATTGGAAAGATAATTAAAAGAAAGATAAATAAACAAAAATACAAAAAAAAATAAACAAAAGACAAAATGAAAAAAAAACACAAAATGCAAAGTTAAAAATTAAAGCGAAAAAGACAATTAGCTCATTGCCATGGAGCAATCTTTTCTCACTGTTAGAAATTCTTCACTGAGTTCATACCTTATTATCTACCAGAATAAGAAAACATAGTAAGAACAAGATGACCTTGTGCCTGTCTACGCCACGCTTAATAAATACCTTCGGCATTCTTCGACAGGGAACTAATTAGCGTTATCATTTGCTAATCTTAGCTTAGTTTACCCAAGGCCACTATTTTGGGCACCAACTGAGCATCGAACACACTACTCAGTATTAATAACCAACCCGACTAGCTCGTTAACCATTACTCAATCCCAAGACACTCAAATTATTTACCTAGCTTACGTACTTTGGGAGAAGAAAACAAGTATGGGCCATCCAATGATGATCGAAATCACAACTCAGTAAAAATGATCAACCAGAGTGGCTCGTTAACTATTACGCAATCCCAAGGTACCCATAATATGTATTAAACTTAGTTTGGGACAAGAAACATAGCTGCTTGATTGTTTCGTTTTCTACGGCTTTGCAGGTTATTTAAAGACAGAAAATATTTCTAGATTGTAAGATTTTTTGGCGGAGGTTGGATAATAATGGTCTAGTGAAACAAGTCTTACTAATTAACCCATAGCTCGGGGGAGAACGGGTGGATTCATATCTTCCCCAAGATTATTCACGCGTAAGTGAATATAACGAATTCCTATGGAACTGGAACTCGGCTCTCCGATAACAAGCCATCATCCATTACACCATCCGCACATCCAAACTGAAAAACATCTGGTATTCCCAAACGGTTAACCAGTTAGATACTGACCAGGCTCGCCGTTGCTTAATTTTGATGATCGTATGGGAGCCAGTGTTTTTACGTCATATGGCCGCAAACCTATGAAAGCAAGTATGAGACACTCTGAAGTTGGTAGCCACTGTTCAGTAGTAATAGTCAGACTAACTCGCTAACTAGTACTCAATGTCGAAGTACCAAAGTTTTTGTTAAGTTTAATTTGAGACAATAAAAGAACTTTGAGGCACCCACTGAAGATCGAAGTTCATTACTCATCAATAATTAGCTTAGATTAGCTCGTTAACCATTACCCAATAACGATCTGCCAAAACGATATACTCATCTCCATTTGACACAAGGACAAGAGTAAGGTATCCAATGCACAATTCCTAGTAGCAATGGCCAACCAGAGTTGCTCATTAACCATTACCACACACCGTGGTGCCGTGAATTAAATGGTATTGCTAACAATTACTATTGTAAAAATTGTCGATGCTCATTCGTGGCGTAAACTTTAGAGGACTATTTTAAGTTTCGACAATGATCACGAAACAGGAGATCAACAGTTAACTACACATACAGTGTTCTATTCTTAAAGAATGTCTACTATGTAAAAGACAATGAAAAGACTTTCGCAGGACTTGCAAAGCCAATCCCAAACAGGAAAACAAGGGATAAACCTCTACACCTGTTCATCCCTATTCAGATCACATGTCGGGGTTTTGAACTTGTCTCCTGTTTAGAATTAGGTTTCTAGTTTGTTCTAAAAAAAATTTTTATTCTCTTTCACTTCCAGTAGCCTCTTGCGTCTTAGTGACATTATCGCCTTGCTTGGGGTGAATTGATTTTTAAAATGTTTTTTTTTTCAGTGCTATTTGACCTTCCCTACTCAGAGATCTGAAGAAATATATTCTTCCTCTCTATCTTTTCCCACATTTGCCTTTTCGTGCTCTTCAAGTAAACTAAGAAATTAAGAACCCGTTTCGGAATTTGAGAAAACTCCGGGTGGAAATTGCGAAATATTTGATCAAATGTCAGACGACCATAAAAAACAGAATGGAGAAAATATATAAAACTGGTTAAAAAAAAACGAGTGAAAAAAAATATCACAAGCGATAGGTAAAACGTGTCAGGTTAATATAGGTTGAGGTATTTTATAAATTGTGTAGTATTTACATCAGTAAGAGGAAAATGCAGAATAAGAAAAAAGGAAAATATAAATCCGTCCGTGCATTGAATATTGCTGCCTTATCTCAATATTTTAGAGAAAATAATTAAAAAAAAGAATCTATAATATTATCGGTTCTGACCTGGCATCACGACTTCAGTCATTGACCCCCCCAAAAAAAATGTACCGTGGCTCGCCTTTTTTCTATAAATATTTTCATGACAGTTGTTCTGAGATCTTCTCCTTGGTACCTCGACTGCATGAATTTAAACATACCACTCCATTGGCAAGTAGGTCTCACCGCTTTACTGTTGAAATGGCAGAATATAGCCATATGTTACATTCTAATAGTTTCTTTTTTCTTGCACTTCAAGCATGTGGCACTCTCTTCCAGTTACTTACTAACTTGCCACCTATGATATTCAAAGTTTTAAATGCAACATTAATCGCCATCTTCCGTCCTCTTGAATTCTGTTATTTTATTCTCCATTATAATCCTTCTTTTTCCTATCCAGTAAACCTCTTAGTGGTATTTTATTCTTTTATAAATTAAAATCCACCTTTTCCTTGGAAAAAGAACAGTTCAAAAATATTTTTTCTTTTATATGGCTCTAGCAAGAATAGTATAAATACATTAGTTTCTCCTATTGTCGGGAGAAAAGAAACATATAAAGGAATGAAAGAGATAAAGAAATAAGGGAGATAAAAGAAACGAAAGATAGGAAAGAATAAAAGATACAGGAAAAAAAATGAAAAAGAAAAAAAAAATGAAAAAAAAATGAAAAAATTTCTTTTATGAAAGGGAAAAATAAAAGAGATGAAAGAAAGAGATGAAGGAAAGGTATAAAACATCGAAGAGATAAAGGAATAACAAAATAAAACAAATGAAAGAGATAAAATAAATGAAATGTAAAGGAATTAAAGTGACAAAAGTAAAAGATATGAAGTTAATGAAAGTCATTAAAACGAAAGAGATGAAATAATTGAAAGTCATTAAACTGAAGTATATGAAATAACTGAAAGTCATTAAAACGACGTATATGGAAAAAATGAAAGTCATTAAAACGACGTATATGAAATAAGTGAAAGTCATTAAACTGAAGTATATGAAATAACTGAAAGTCATTAAAACGAAATATATAGAAAAAAATGAAAGTCATTAAAACGAAATGAAATAAGTAAAACTGGTATATGAAATAACTGATTAAAACGAAATATAAAAAGAAAAACGACGTATATGAAATAAGTGAAAGTCATTAAACTGAAATATCAAAAACGAAATATATAGAAAAAATGAAAGTAAAAACGACGTATATGAAATAAGAAATGAAAGAAATAACTGAAAGTCATTAAAACGAAAATATAGAAAAAATGATTAAAACGGAAATAAGTGAAAATTAAACAATGAAAAACTGAAAGTCATTAAAACGAAATATATAGAAAAAATGAAAGTCAAAAAGTCATTAAAACGACGTATATGAAAAAGTGAAAGTCAAAACTGAAGTAAAAAATAACTGAAAGTCATTAAAACGGAAAAAATAAAAGTCATTAAAACGACGTATATGAAATAAAAAGAAACTGAAGTGAAAATAACTGAAAGTCAAAAACGGTATATAAAAAAAATGAAAGTCATTAAAACGAAGAAATAAAGGAAGTAAAACTGAAAATAAAATAACAAATGAAATATATAGAAAAAAAATGAAAGTCATAAAAACGAAATGAAATGTAAAAAGATTAAACTGAAGTATATGAAAATAACTGAAAGTCATTAAAAAAATATAAAAAAAATGAAAAGTCATTAAAACGACGTATATGAAATAAGTGAAAGTCATTAAACTGAAATATCAATAAAACGAAAGATTAAAACGAAATAATATGAAAATGAAAGTCATTAAAACGACATTAAAACTGAAAGTATTAAACTGAAGTATATGAAATAACTGAAAGTCATTAAAACGAAATATATAGAAAAAAATGAAAGTCATTAAAACGACGTATATGAAATAAGTGAAAGTCATTAAACTGAAGTATATGAAATAACTGAAAGTCATTAAAACGAAATATATAGAAAAAAATGAAAGTCATTAAAACGACGTATATGAAATAAGTGAAAGTCTTTAAAATGAAAGCAATGAAATAAATGAAAGATTAAAACGTATATAAAAAATGAAAAAAACGACGTATATGAAATAAGTGAAATGAAAACTGAAGTAAAAAAACGAAATATATAGAAAAAAATGAAAGTCATTAAAACGACGTATATGAAATAAGTGAAAGTCTTTAAAATGAAAGCAATGAAATAAATGAAAGATAGTAAAGATAAGGAAATGAAAAAAAAAATAGAACAGAATTAAATAAACAGGAGTAAAGCAACGATTAGCATTTGTTAATATAATATTAGATGGAATACCAATTTTGAAGTCACGCTGAAATCACCAGTTCCCGTTTTATCTCCGAGATTGCTCAACTTCAAAACAAGTCAGGCGGTTAACCATTCTTAAGATAATCATCAGGTACTTTAAGTAGTTTGTCGCGTTGTGTCAAATGAAATAAAAACTAAGTAAATATCATATTCTTGCATAATGGTAATATTAGCAGCTTCATTACAAGGAAAAGCATTTAGCATTCATTGACCGAACAGCCTGAGTTGTTGTCGGTTGAACAGGAAATAGTTTAAGAACATCAGATAATGTAAGATATTTTTATACATGAACTTTGATTGCTAAAATGAATTTAGAACAAATTGAAACAGATTTAAGCCCTCTTCAATCAGAATGTTTTATAAATTTTACCATTGACAAAATTAGTTTTAATAAACATAAGTCTGGAGCCAAATGAAAATTACGTTTCTCATTGATTAAAAATGATAGCCGCCATTCTGAATGGATATTTCTATTAACGGTTAAGGGAAAAACGGAATCCACGCCTCTTATTGGCCAAAACACCAACAGTCAAAAAATTAAACAAATCCTGATTAGTCAGAATTCCTACATAGAAGTGAATAAAAGGATATCATTTGAAGTAAGCACGAATATTGTTTACAATTCATGCAGAAGCTGTCCCAGAATGCTAGTCGAGAAATGATCACTCTCGCTTGGGTTTGTTTTGTTTTGTTTTACAGCATATCAACCTCAGTGGATTATTTAATGCCGACAAAATTTTCATTGCTGGTAATATTTTGTTTTGTCAAAAGTCTATTTCTGGTAATAACTTATTGTTGGAAATAATTTTTTGACAAAATATTCTGATATTAAAACTTGTTTTTACACTTTCATAGTGTTTTACCCCATTTTCGGGGTTAACTATTTGCCCATAGATGAGACCCTAAAAGGTGCTACCACCCCGGGTTAAGGCGGTTCTGGGAACACCAGCAATTAAGAGACGGTTCCACGCTCCTCAAAACATCTTGATCAGAGGCCTTGCTGTTGGAGTAGTTTATCGTCTTACCCAGGAAAGTAGATGTAGTTTATCGTCATATCCAGGACGGTACTCGCCTGGGCCCGTAGGAGAGGAAGTCTGATATCAAAGAGGCCCCAAACTTTGTATGACCCCAGAATAGATATCACTGAGGAAGAATTCTGGTGCGTAATATATATGTATAAAACAAACAAACGAAATTTGATTTTAATTTGTCCGCTATTTTTTTTTAAACTCATTTCACCCACAAGCACTTGAGATGGGGCAGCAATATTCGATGCCCGGATGAATGGTAGAATTATAAAGGTGCAAAATAGAAACATTGTCCTGAACGACACAGTGAACCATTTTTCCGCGAAATTGATTCAATATAATTGTTCCACTTCATGCCAATGGAAAACATTAGCCAGAGAAAGCCCAACGAGTGATTCTTCTGAAGGTTAACTTCAGCCCTGTTGATAAAAGGCAAAAAAGAGTCTCTTACACGACTAAAAGAGAGTAGTTTCCTTTTGGAGGCATTAAAATAATAAAAAAAATGCATTTCTTAGCCCATATACAATAGATCGAAGGTCATTTTCGAGGGCAGTTACGAGTTGAGTTTATCGAACCAATCACACTAACCATTAAATCAAGAGGAAATAGTTCTGTCATCAGTATGAATACCAAGTTCAGGACTGATTACATCGAAAAGGTTGCTGATAAATAAAAGGAGAAAAATAGGTCCAAAGAGAGAGCTCCGCTGGACACCGCATTGATATAAAAAGCCGTTAAGGATAAGTTTCATTTCGTGATTTAGTAAGGAAGATAGAATCAAACTAAAAATTCCGCCAGAAACACCATAACCCTTCAATTCGTGTAGAAGACCAACATGCCAAACATTCTTCGAGATATCTATGACAATAGTCCCATCTTCAGTATTCTTACCTAAAGCTTGATACATACTTTTAGCAATCACCGTTAACACATCAGCACTTGCCCTAGGGAAGGCTTTATGTAAATATTAGCTGTTTATTTTTACTTGATTCATAGGTAAATTTGTACTCGAATCTATAGATAAATATTAACCATTTTCTTATGTTTGCATCAATAGATAAATACTGACAATTTATTTATACTTGTGCCTGTATGTAAATATTGCTTGATTCGACTCGTGTTCTTAAATAGCCGCGTCAGATTCGAGATTTCCTTATGAATGTTGCGTGTGGCGCCAAAGACGTTCACAAATATTCAAATTGTCATCTGTATACCACTGCTTTCTCAGATTAATGATTAAAATGGCTTCCAGTGCATGGATTCTGTAGCTCTTATCACAGAAACTACATCAGGATGTTCAAAATTAAAAATAATTAAAATGGATAGCACATCTAAACAGAAAACAAAATAATGACAGATGTTTAGATTACACACTACTTCAAACAAGATGTTTGGAAGGAAACCTCCAACAATAGTGGAAAACTATTCAATAATTTTTTTTTATAAATTTAACCCGAATGTAGTAATGCCTGTTTGGTAATAAATACCGAATGTTTTCTTCTGAGGAAACGGCTGATATTAACATTACCATTTCCGTAAAATGATGGTTATTTATTTATACTTGAGTTTATATGTAAATATTAATAGTTTTTTTTATACTAGAGTCTATATGCCAATATTGGGCTTTAATTTATACATGTGTTTATAAGCAAAAATCGGTTGTTTATTTACACGAGTTTATATGTAAATATTGAATGTTTGTCTATACTTGAGCTAACTAAATATTTGTCATTTATTCTACTTTCACTTATGAGTAAATGTTTATTTATACAATAATCTACAACAATTCTTTTTTATACTTCAGTCTATAGGTACATAATATTCCTTTACAGTTGAATCGATAGGTAAATCGTGGTCGTTTATGCTTGAGTCCATAGATAATTATTAGTCCTTTAAACTTGAATATCCGAAGGCGCATCGGGATAGAAAGGGTGCCTTCCGAAAGGCAAGCAAAGTATTAAGAAACAGAAAAATACTGTTAGAAATGAAGAAACGAATACTAAAATGTGTAATATCAGTGTTCCTATATGTCAGTGAATGCTGGACAATCTTCTCAGAGATGAAGAGGACACTTGAAGCAACAGAAAAAAAGAAGAGTACAGAACTGTTACGTAATGTCAGTCCTCCTATATGTCAGTGAATGTTGGAGATTCTCCTCACAGATAAAAAGGAGACTTGAAGCACCAGAAACAAAGAAAAAGCTACTGAACTGTTACATAATGTCAGTCTTCCTATATGTCAGTGAATGCTGGACAATCTCCTCACAGATGAAGGGAAGACTTGAAGCAACAGAAACAAAGAAAAAGCTACTGAACTGTTACATAATGTCAGTCTTCCTATATGTCAGTGAATGCTGGACAATCTCCTCACAGATGAAGAGAAGACTTGAAGCAACAGAAACA